ATACCGCTTTCAGATATTTTTTTAAGCCTTTGATATCATCAAGCATCCTTTTATTTTTTCCTGTTTAGAACACTTTGGGTTTGGACCTATTTCTGTAATGACATGAAAACTTTTTATGCAGCCAGGCAGTAATAGTTCAGTGAAAATAAGTCAAGGCACCACGCAAAGATTTTATCTAAAAAGAGGTGCAAGGCAAGGTTGCCCAGTTTCTGTTTACCTTTATCTTATCATTGCTCAGGCATTCTGTCATTGTTTTAAATCAAGCAAGTTAGAAGGAATTCAAGTTGATGGGAGAAGTCCTGACAAGTCAGCTGGCTGATGACATGGCTTTTTCTTTTTTTCTTTTTTAAATGCTTGTCAAATTCAGTCGGCTACTAAAATCATTGAATTTTTTTCCAGTGCTTCAGGGGCCGGATTCACGAAAATCTTCTTAAGAGATAAGTTAAGAAATTTTTTATGATCATTTCCAAGAAGTTCATAATAATGTTCCTAAGTGCAATTCTTAAGAAGTTCTCAAATATGTTCTTAAGAAAATCTTATTTTTTTCTTAAGAAGAAAATGACAGCGATGATGAAATCACACTTCAAGAAATTCCAATCTATATGGCTATTTCCTAGAATGAACAGCAGAGAATCTCACTAAATGTTAATCCTGTGATTAAAAATGTAAAGAGCAGATTTAATATTTGGTTACAGAGGGATTTATCTTTTAAAGGTTGTGCTCTGTTGGCTAAAGTGGAACGTATTTTATTTGGAACGCATGTTGCTTCCTCGATACACTCAGATAGTAAAATAAATCAGATAACTGATAAAAAAGCAGATTTTTTTTGTGGAAAAACTGTGTACATAACATTAGAAAATCTGTATTAATTCATATAAAAATGGTGGTCTTGATTATTTAGATTTTTCGATCTTAAATAACACTTTAAAAATCAATTGGTTAAAGTATTTTTTGAAAAACCCTTCTTCTATATGGAATATAGCTAATATCTAAAACTGTTTTTGACCAACTTGGTGGTCTTTCATTTTTTGTTAATGTGTGATTACAAAATTTAAAATCTTACTTTTTAAAGTGTCAGCTTTTCATAGGCAAGCACTTTTGAGGTTCAAGTTAATTTACAAGTACAATTTTTCCTTGTAATAATTGTAATATTTTGTATAAACGCGAGTATATTTATGAAAACCTGGTTTGATAAAGGGATCCTTTTGGTATAGGGCAGCTGTTGAATTCTCAGGTGTATTTAATGGCTTATGATGAATTTCTTTCACATTTTAATTTCCCTGTATCCCCAAAAGAATATGCCACTGTAATTGGAGCTATCTCTTTTAGTATTGTGTCTTTATGTAGTAGTAGTTCAACATGTTTCTTTACTTCACCCAGCTGACACTTTGTAGAATTTTTATTTATTTATTTATTTTTTGATTAGCAAATATAATAATAAGCATGTACGTACTTTATTAAAAAAAAAAAAATAATAATAAAAAGTTAGTGTTAATTGTTATTGGTCTAAATTTACTGGAAATATTAACTGGAAGAAGGTTTGGGTGTTAACCAATAAATATCTTATTACAAATTAATTTAAGATATTGCACAAATTTTACCCTGCGAAGCACTTTCTATCCAAATGTAATCAAGTAATGGATGTAAATTGCTTGTTTTAATTATTGCATCCAGAAACTGTACCTCACATTTTCTGGCATTGTTAATATACAGTACAAAGAAGTTATGGTGGGAGGTTTCTAGATTTATAAAGTACAAACTGTTGTGCAATTTTCTTTTACCAAATGAACATGTAATATTTGGTTTTTTGAACTACGGTAAGAATTACGGTAAGAAAATTAGGTAAGAAAATTAGGCATATGTTATTAATCTTTTGATTATACTTGTTAAGTTTCATATTCACCTATGTAAATTCATCAAACGGAAACCTCATTTTTTCTGTGGTACTTAAGGAATTAGAAAACTACATAGGCACTATTAAGGAGAGTATATAAACAAAAAAGCTGTTAAAACTGTGCTTTTATTTAGTACTTTTAAAATACTTTTAAAACTTTTAAAATATTATTTAGTACTTATTTAATATATTTTAATATACTTTTAAAGCTCATTCTGATTCTGAATATTGTGAAATAGCAAGGTCTTTGATTATTTTATTTGTTTTATTTATTTATTTGGTGTATGGCTTTATATGCATGTATAGTCTGTATTTATTTTTTTATATGTATACCCTTGGCAATTTTGTTATGTAATTGTTGATGAAGCATCATTAAAAAAAAAAAATGTAAATGGTTGGTTGGGGGGCGATCTCTGTAAATCCGTAAATCTTTTTTTTACCAGTGTAAATGTTGACAGGCAAGTAAAACATTTGAACCAGACTGGTAGAAAAAGCATAATTGAATATCAACAAAACAACAACAACAACATACATCCATGATTTCTGCTTGAGTGGCATAACAGAACATGCAGGTGACTTGCAAGTATGCAGCCAGTCTGACTCGTCTATACTTGAAAACAGACAACTAGATAAGTCACAACAAGTTCAGTTTTCTATGGCTATATCAGAAATCTGTGCAATTTTTTTAAAACCAGGACAGCAGGGCTGTAGCCAGGGTTTTAAAATTACCGAGGTCCCAAATCCCCGCGACCCCCACCCACATTTAATTGAAAGGGGTCCTTCCTATTATGCTTTTTCACTTTTTTAATTTTAGTCAGTGTGTAGTGTGTATGTTTGGGCATAAAAAAGATCTAGAAAGTTACAAATCTCAAAGTCCACTCCAAAGGGAGATATTTAGCTTTTTAAAAATCCCTTTTCAAGAACTACAACGAACGGCTCGTTTGGACTACAGC